TAAATGAGTTTAATTAAAAAAAAAAGATTAGAAAATGTGGAAAGTGTTAAAACGAGCATCAACGGGCTTAAGTTGGGATCCCATAAAGCAAACCATTGATGTTTCAGAAGAATGATGTGCCGAGAGATTGGAGCTAAAATTTTATTAAATGTTTAGTGCTTCCAACTTTTTTTTATGTCATCGCAATTATATCAACATATTAACTATCACTTAGTTTATAGGTCGTGTAAATTGTAAAGAAGTTCAAGTTTAGTCACATTGAAGAGATGTTGGAACTAATGCTTGGTGGAGTTATGACCACAAGTGATCATGCATGGTCTCTAAGAGAGAGTGTGTTAACTGGTACAACTTAGCATATAAAAGCTGAGCAAATTATTGACTCTTTTGAAGGGTCCAATCCTAACCTAAATGAAGTTGAATCAACTAATCGCTCCAAACATCCTAGAGTTGAGAAAAATAAAAAAAGATGATGTAGTTGTCGGCACTATTTTTGGTGTGAGGTTTGCCCATAAAAGTAAGAATTCACAATTAGTTGTCATGCACTAATGAGCTTGCTCCAAACATCCTAGAGTTGAGAAAAATAAAAAAGATGATGTAGTGTTTATAAAAGTCAGAATTCACAATTAGTTGTCATGCACTAATGAGCTTAGCACATCACAGGTAACTTATATTTAACAAGTTATGAGAATACTGGAAAAAAACTCCATAAACTTATAAAAACATGTTGGTTTGCTTAATTTTAAAGAAGTTATTAGAAGATTTGATAGTGAGAGAGTTATTTTTGTTGACACAACTAATTGTATGGTTAATTATTTATGTTACTTTTATGAGAATCGAGTTGTATGGCTTCCATGTTATTTTTAGGCTTTTTTATGTTTGACTGATATGGGTGTAGAATATTAATTTTGATGTACGAGTATTGCAATCTGTCATTATTTTTTCTCTTGTCATTATCATGATTTTTGTTTAATGTATTACTTCCTAATACATAAGTGTTATTTATATGTGTCAGTTGCATCAACAATGAATAATGTGGATAGATAAATACATAAAAGAAAAATTGCAGTTGCATTATGCTTAATATATAAGTATTACAATTCATCTATTACTCACACTTCTTGCATGGCATTCATGTACATTAATGACAAATGAGGAGTTGCTTGTGGGTTATCCAAAAAGATTTAATAACATGTTCCGTATGACACAAATCATATTTACTGATATATTAAAAGAACTTCACAAAAATTATGGACTACATAACTTCAACAAAAATGTTAGTTATAACTCTCTATATTTTATCAGAAAATGAGCATATGAGAGGAGTCGTTGAGCGATTCTAACATTCATCAGAAAGAATTAATATATATTTTTAGTTTTTTTTAATGTTTTGATCAGCTTATCTTTAAAAGTTATCAGATATGAAGATCCTATATTCCAAATCACCTATATAGAGATTCCACAAGATTAACACTATATTTCGTATTTTAAGGTAGGTTTTTGTGTTCATATTTTCTAACATTTATTTAAGAGTAGTAACTCTATTATCTTACACAAATGACTTAGGACTACCTTGGAGCAGTTAATGTAACACATATGGATGTACGTGTTTCTAATAGTGAAAAGTTTATATACATTGAACATTGTGGTTCACAAACAAATGTTATGGATGTATTTAATTTTAGTATGTATTTTACTTTTGTTATGACTTGATGGGATGACAATGCACATAATAGTTACATATTCAAATTTATTACATGAACTCATAAATATAACTTTCCATAACCACCTCCATGTTTGCTTGAATATGAATAAATAAAATAATTAGTTGAGCTCAATATTAATGATTATATTTATAATAGAGAAATATTATTTGTTCGAAAGTTGGATATCTGTTACAAAGAGAATATCTCAAACTTTTTCCTTACACAAAACATTGCATTCCTGATTTTGAAAGAGTCAACTATATAACATAGGAAATAATATGTTTAGCAAAAGACTCTCATCTTTATGTGAAGAAGATGCTGGGGAGATGACAAAGTTGAGAGATAAAATTACAAGTGCAATAGTTAATGGGCGAAATTATGTTGTATGCTACTGTTTCTTTATTTATGTATTGTCTCTTGTAAAAATGCTTAATGTTTTTTGTAATGACGTTTTTATGCAATGAAGTTCATATGGGATCTCAATTTGGTGCAAATTATTTTGATTTTTTTTCATGTATTTTTTTCGCAGGAATGACCCATTGGGCAACCAACCACATATGCTTTTTTTTATGTTTATGATTAGATATATGGTCATAAGGGTTCTTCTAGATGACCTATATTTTGATATGGATTTCGACAAGTATGAAATTTTCATAAAGGAAACCATGATCCCCATCTTTTTGGTCATATGATTGTTGGGCTTCTTTTAGATGACCTATGTAGTGTATGCTTCTGTGATACATACAAGCTCGATATTACGTTTTTCAAAGGCAACCAAGTACATTGTTTAAATGCAACCAAGATCCTTTTTTAAGATATTTTTGTCTTATTGTAGTGACACATTATTCATCAATTTATCCTTTTAATCAAAGACCTCGCAACTTTATAAATTTTTAATTATGTATTTAATTATTTTTATTGGTTAATATTTCATCTAACTGTTTGTGGTTTGTAGTTTTAAACTTTTAGAAATATAAGCTCGAGCTTTTTTGGTGCCTCTAGAGACTTGTGTTGCAACTATGGATACATCATGAAAGGAGCATAGCTCTGTGAGAAAACTTTACAAGTGTCTAAGGAATAAATCAACAGAGGTGAGTGACTTCTTTTGGTGGACGAATCAGTTAGACGATTTCACCTCAAATATTGATCAGGCATGGAGAGTTTATTTGGAGAAGAAATTATCTTGTGAAATTGATCATCTACATTTCAAATTAAATATCACGGAAAGGTTAATTATTGTGTTACTAATTTTATTTTTGAGTTTGATTGTTGTGTTACTTACTGTTAAGTTAGATATCAGTTCTAGCTATAATATTTTAACTTATATGTTTTTGAGATTTTGAATGTAATTTTTATTTTCATGTATAAGTTATTCAAATTAGACTATTATAAAGAACACTATAATACACAGTAAACAAGCATTTTTACCGTAAATGATGGAGCATAACTACAAAATTGTCATACATATAGCACCCTTGTGACAGTATTTTTGGACAACGCATGCACAACAGTTTTTTCGAAAGGAAAAAATATTACATCATGACTCCTAATGCA